CATGCAAACAGACCTCAACTTTTAAAAAGCACCTCCTCAAGAGGAATGGCTCTGTTTTGTCTACTACTGTGTCTCCAGTATCCCCAGTGCCTAGAACATACTCCTGGCGCACAGGAAGCACTCAGTAACTATTTGAATGATTGAACTCAAAAGTCCTAAATTCTCACATACTGAATTTTCATGAATCATTTCTTCTCAGCATAAGATGTTAAAACAAACCAACCAACCTAATTGTGAGTTTTCTGCTTTAAAGTACTATATTCCTACAAAAAGTTAGCCAATGACTGGATTATTTGTTTAACATACTGTTAAAGCATGGGTTGGCAGTGTGAGACATATGAGTATTACCTGTAAATCTGCCAGGGTAGCTCAGTGAAGCCCAGGGTTCTTGTCTGATACAAGCTTATTCTGAACCTGAAAACTTTACCTACAAATTATCAATGGTTCTTATAAATACATTGCTCTTTAGAAACCACAACAGGTTCCTGATTAAAATATGAAGAGCCAAATATTACAGGCAGCATATTTTCTTCTGCTTTAGTTAAAATCAACTCTGCATACAAAATGTTTGTGTCTTGTACTTTTCTAGTCATGTTCTCACATGCTTCCCTGTGCCAGATGTTCACTCTTCTTTCTTCTAGATGCCAGGCATAATTCATATCATCAGAAACTTCCCCAAGGATACCTCTGCATATTCACTCTGACCACAGCAACAGGTCTGGTAGTGAATTCAAAAGAAAGGACTTATACCAAATTAGACTACAGTACTGAGGTTTCCTCCCTTTCAGAGCCACTTCTGAAGGAGTCATCCCGCGGGATTTCCTCCCCAGCATTTCTGCCATACCTTGTCTGGTTTTGTGTACCCAGTTAATTACATCCCTGGCTAGCTTGCTGTGGTCTGTGATCTGACAGAGCCAGCATAATTCATATCATCAGAAACTTCCCCAAGGATACCTCTGCATATTCACTCTGACCACAGCAACAGGTCTGGTAGCGAATTCAAAAGAAAGGACTTATACCAAATTAGACTACAGTACTGAGGTTTCCTTCCTTTCAGAGCCACTTCTGAAGGAGCCATCCCACGGGATTTCCTCCCCAGCATTTCTGCCATACCTTTTCTGGCTTTGTGTACCCAGTTAATTACATCCCTGGCTAGCTTGCTGTGGTCTGTGATCTGACAGAGCCACAGAGGAGGGCTGCTCTAACCTGTGTTCCAGATCAAGCTGATCAGAGATCACAGGTGTTCTAGAGGACAAAGGGACCTTGGAGATCATGGACAAACTCCTTCTCAACCCGTAGCCTTGTTCCACTGTCTTCTAGGAATGTGAGGTTTCCAAACACTGAACATGCCGAACACTGAACCTGATGGATGAGAAAATTAAAATACATCATTATTTTTGAAAACCAAAGTTGAAATGGGTTTTCCTTTATTTCTCTGGGCTTACAAAGGGAATATAGCTTAATATGGTTATTCATTAAAAAGTTTTTAAAACTCTTTGAGATCAAAAGAGGAGCCAGGGAAATATGAGATCACTTGTGAGAGTCCAGGCAAGAATTGTGATCTTTTACGTGGAGGTTATAACTGAATCCTGCTGCCTCTCTCCAAACATTGAAAACCTTATGAATAGAGCATTAAGCTAGACATTTTTGAACTTAAAAGCTTTATTCTTTAAAATTTACTTTTCTATTCATCCAGTGCCTTGATTTCTCTGTAAAATATGTGTTTTTTATTTCAATCCTTGCCCCAGGAACATCCTTAGGGTTAATATTTGTGGAGAGAATATATTTGCTAAGTACCTTTTGCTTCAAAGACATAGTTGCTATAAAATAGGGTATAATTATTAGCTTTTAATACTTTGGTTTTGCATAAAAAGAAACATCTAACATCCATGAGACATGTAACACACCAGAAATCCTGTCTGTTCTTCCCCAGTTGCACTTTTTCTGCCTGACTCTCCTCATTTCTTTAGTTTATGTTGGTTGCAGAGGAAAAGGGGTAGGGGCTACAATTTTTATGGACTAAATTGACAGCCAGTGGTTAGTGTTGGAGCTAGTATTAAATGCATGCAGGCCTGATGATGGGCATACATACATTCTTGAGATTTTGAGCGCATATAGATTGAGGCTGAAGACGGGGGACAAAATTTTATAAAATATATCAGGGTGGAGAAAAGATTTTGGTAAACCACTTATGTAGAAATCAGAAATAAGTGAAAACATTGATCTTACATCATTTTATTCAGAGCTGCTGACTTAATTTATCTAAATATTTGATTTGGTTTGTTTGACATTCTGAACCCTCAGTTATCACCACCTCAATGTCCTTTCACAAAATTATTTTCCAAAAGATATGTCCAAGTTTAATTAAACTCAGGTAAATTTGAAAAATAAGGTTCAGTCTGCAGGGGAAGGATGAAAATAAGTTCCAAGGACCAGGGAGATTATTATTGATGGTTGGGGAGAACCTGGATTCAAAAGGGACTCAAGAAAGAAACATGTATGGAACAGGCTGTTTTTTATCCAGAGAGGTCTGAAAATTAAAAGAAGGTTTTGAAAAACATTAGAAAGTTAATAGGAAGACTTGGCAGTTCCTGGCGGTGGAGGCTGTTGTGAGTGTGTGACTGTGTACATAGATAAACACTCTTGTGCTGCAGGGAAGAGAATCTTTATGAAGCTGAGATCGCAATGGTTAGCAAAGAAAGAATCCAAAAATGAGGAAGGAGAAAAATAGGAATTATGAACAGTGTTGAGGCATACAAATTTATGAGGTATATTGAAATTTTAAGTTGAAAATAAGTTATGTTTAAGGATTTCCCAGTTGCCAGACCCTGTGTAGAAATAAATTCTAAAAATTCTAAGATTCATTGTCTTTGTTTTGAAGGAGAAGGAAAGTTAGATACTATTTCATTTGCATAAATAAAATATTATCTTGATAAGAGAATGAAACATGCTTGTTTATTTTAGATATCTCCAGACAGATGAAATAGAAATCACATAAACTATAATTGTAGGTGAAATATGTGGTTATAGACAGGATGAACACAAAATGACTTTACTATTAAATACTTAACAGTTTATTTTGTCTTATATTTAGAAAATTAGAGGTAACTTTACTTGCTCTTTCTTTGTAAATAACTACCAAATTTTGGGCACAAGTGAGGGAATTCATTTCTTGCATTATTAAATTAACAGCAATTTTGGATAACTGATTCTAAGTAATTCTAATTTCTGTTTTCTTATTTTACAGCTTGGCTCATCCTCTTCTGTGCCTTTCACATCTATTTTTTCTCAGCTTTTTATGACTGTTGTGGTTCCTCTCATTATTGGACAGGTAAGGTCTTCCATTCTCTGACCTTTTCTTCATAAATCAAATTGTGAATTCCTATGTAATGTCCAGGCAATTGAGATAAAGGTTATTCAGAAGGAAGAAACAATTAAATGAAAAGATCAGACTGAAAACACAAGGTTTCATCAATCACAATATGCTCATCTTTTTAATTTTTTAATTAATATTAATCTGCTTTGCAGTTAGATATATATAGGGACCCCTGCACAGAATCTTGATTTTTTAAATTTATTATCTCTTCTTTGGAGCTATGTAGCTATCTTGAAAATACCTATCAAAATCACTACATTATTCTGCAACTTCTGATAAAGTCTCAGTATTTATGACCGTTGCTGGAAATAAGCATCTGTCTTTGGTTGGCTTCTTCATAGACTCCTCCAATAGCAGTAACATTTGGTCATGTAGTTGATAAAATAAACATTTAATTTTATTATCTCTCATAACTGGATCTTAGATTTAGAGTTTCCTTTCTCATTCTTATTCAATTGGACTAATAGAAAAAGTTCTATTTTAACTTCTGAAATAGTAAGCATATAATTTAATTATAAACATACAAATTTAAAAGCAAGGGGTTTGTTTGTTTGTTTTTTAATCATAGGAAGCCACAGTAATAGACTTCAGAATGTAACATACTACTTAAAATGAGTGAGTCTTAGGAAAACAGTATATTAGGCTGGTTAAGAGCACAGGCTTTAGTTTAAGGGCAACTAGATTTTGACTTAGTTCTACCTTTTATTTGCTGTGTGACCTCAGGCAAGTCATTTAATCTCACTAGCTCTAGATTCACAATTTATTAAATATCATAACAGCACCTATCTTAAGTGTTGTTGTAAGGATTAAATGAAATGCTCATAATGCATTCATATAAAGGAGGCTGACACAGGTAAATGCTCTATATTTTCCATCATTGTCATCATCATTATCAAATTCCCTGCCAATACAAACAGGAAGCAACTCCTTGAAATATTGACTATAAAAAGTAATGTATGTATAGACATGTAATATTTACATGCTGTTTAAGTCAGGTTCTCTGGACAGTAGACTCTGAGACAGGGGTCTCTATGCAGGAAGCTTACTGCAGAGTACCCTTGGGATCAGCACTTTTGGGAGAGTGAAAAAATAGGGTGGGGATGATGCAGTCCCAGTAAAGGCCCCAGTAGATTCTGTGGGAAGCTCTGGAGCTGGAATGACCCCTCAGAGTTGTCCTGCCTTAAGGCAAAGGCACCTGGTCTTTCCATTCCTGCACTGACCAGTCATTAGATGCAGCTTCCCTCCCACCCCCGTGAAGGGTGTGACCTTGGGTGAGTCTGCACTCTTTAGTGAGGCCATGTCCCAAAGAGGAACTCAACTAAGATCTTTCATTCCACCATCACTCTCTGAAGAGATGGAACTGGATGGAGAACTACAGCACCCACTCACTACACATGCATTAGTTATTTTCTTAGATTTAATTTTATAATTAGAAAAGGGACTAAATTTAGTATCAAGAGGGAAAATTTAAAAGCACTCAAAGAATACCATTTCATTAAATATTAAGTGATATTTGAAAAAAATACTTCTCCCACAGTGTTGATCATGTAACAGGGATTCTGAATAAACTTTCCATGCCCTGCCTACCTCTCTAACCTCTGCCACATTTCCTGCACTCTAGTCTCCTTGACTCTTCCGCAATTCCTGCTTATCGTTTCTGTTTAGAATGTCTTTCCACCCACCATCCCACCCCAATTCATTGCTCATTTGACTCTACTTCAGACCTTTTTGAACCACCTAATATATGTTTCCCTGCTTATTCTTTATTGAAGGACCTGTTTGATTCCTTTCTTGGCCTTTCTCATAATATATACTTACCTTTTATGTGCTTGTTAGCTGTTTTTCTCCCCCTAGACAATAAGCTTCATGAATACAGAAACTATTTGTTTTGTTTACCATTACATACCCAGACCGTAGGCACCCAATAAGTATGTGTTGAATGAGTGAGTGAAAGAATGAATGAGTGAGAGTTCTGTGATCAGTAAGGGGCATGCTTTGTCTTACAGAGGCATAACCAAATCTATCTGCCCTTCTCATCTCTACACAGTTTAAGCTGTGGATAGCATTAGTTTAAATCTATACTTAATTTCCTTGGTCCTGAAAATAATTCCATATAATAACTTGGGGCTCATACATTGTTCTCTTAGTGGATCTTGGAAACATCCCTGTTAAGAATAAATGCCTGGCTTAAAACATATGGACAAAAAAAATCTGTATCTAAGATATTCAAGTTTTTATGTATAGGGTTATATAATTTATATAATTAAGGAATATTTATCCACAGAGAATACTGAATTGTTAGATTGCTCATCCTTTGCATGCCCAGTAGGAAAGTATTCAGTAAATTACAAAGTAATAAAGGTAGTCAAAAAATAGTATAGGTAGTTTTTAAAAAGTATTCTAGGTATCAAAGTACTCTAATGGCTTTTTTCAAATAAGGAAACCTATATGCCTGCATCTACCTGCCCCTTTTCTTGTATTATACCATTAGAAATTAATAATCACTAACCCCAGCCTTCACATCCAGAAACCACTAACGAGTCTTGCCTTGCCCTCTCTTTACTCCCCTCCATCCAGGAAGCCTCGAAATGCTATAATTTCTGTCTCAGAAATTTTTCACATACCTGCCCCTTTTCTTGTATTATACCCTTAGAAATTAATAATCACTAACCCCAGCCTTCACATCCAGAAACCACTAACGAGTCTTGCCTTGCCCTCTCCTTACTCCCCTCCATCCAGGAAGCCTCGAAATGCTATAATTTCTGTCTCAGAAATTTTTCACATCTGGCACCTACAGCCCCAGTCACACTGCTGGAGAAGATGACAGAACTTCATCATCTCTTGTCTAAGTTATCACACCTCCCGAACTTGTGTCTCTGCTGTAAGACACAAGGTAAAATTCCCATCCAATGTCTTTACTGCCTCCAGGGTAGTCCTAAAAAACAAATCAGGTCATGTTATTCTTCTTAAAAACTTCTCTTGTGGCTTCCTGTTGCCAATTCCTTAGGTGGCCCATAAAGCCCTTCACAGTTTGGCCCCTACCTGCCTCTCCAGTGTCACCTCCCACCACTCCCCTTCACGTGGACCCCTCTTTTGCTATGCTCCATGGTCACCATTCCCTCACCTGACCATGCCCGTTCAGCGTGTCGTGCCTTTGATCTTAGTTCCATCTCTTCTGCCAGCAAACTCCTACTCCTTCCTGAGGACTCAGTGCAGATATCCTTCTGTGTCAAGGCCACTTGCTTTGACTTCCCTGGCCTAGACTAGATTCCAGTTGTCCCATGGTACTTGATTCATAGTATTTATCAGGAGAAATTAAAATTTATCCATGAGCTTCATGGAATCAAAGACTATACCTTCTTAATTCTTCTATCTCCTTGCTTGTAGTGGATACTCAATACATATTTATTTACTGAATCTGTTATTCCATCCTAAGTAATAGTCTCCATGGGTTACTACTTATAGGTGTATTTAATAGCATACTCAGTAGTAGAGTGTAAGTTCTATTTAAAAGATTGACTGAAGAAAACTTTGAATTTACTCTCAGAAAGCCCTCAGCAGTCATTTTCCCTAGATCTCCATTTGTACAGGGTAATATTTTTAGGTCTTTATGTAGTAGATACTCAATGACTTTTTTCTTTCCTAGCAATCATCTGAAAAACAAATCTGAAAAAAAAGTTCTTTTTTTAGGATGCTAGTTCATGGAAAAATAGGTTATTCAGAATTTTATATGAAAGAAGAGCCAGATTTTCAGCACCCTCCCTTGGTTTTAGTCTTTGGATGAACCGTGCTGTAACTGGCCCACAGGTGGATTAACAGGAGGGATACAGCCATGTTGGGGTGTTGAGGCCACACACCTCCTCCTGGGGCAGAGGACTAGCCACGACCCCACCCACATACACGTATGTAATCTGTTGAAAACATTCGCCTGGACAGGAGAGATAAAGATGCGCCTGATAGAAGCCACCGGGGAGTGGCCAAGGAAAGACATAGTTTAAAATTATTGGATAAAAGGGGCCGACCCGGTGGCGCACTGCTATAGTGCGCTGCTTGGGAGCGTGGTGGTGCTCCCGCTGAGGGTTTGGATCCCACATACAGACCGGTTCCCGCTCACTGGCTGAGCAAGGCACGGGAGCAACACCGAGGGTTGCGATCCCATTGCCGGGCCCGGTCTGGTACGGGGGCAACACTGAGGGTTGTGATCCGTTGCCGGACACGGAAAAAGACAAAAAGGAAAAAAAAAAAATTATTGGATAAAAGATATTTCCACCACGTGATGGCAATAGCAAAGCATTAGAGCAAGATGCATGTTCACATGACCTTTAAGATGATAGGTTGAAGTTAGGAAGTCCCCTTGCCATATGCTTATAAAAGCAGGTACTTGTGTGAAATAAACAGAACTGCTTGACGGAACCCCGGCCGTGTCTGAGTGTCTTTCTGTGGGGCTGAATAGGCGGGCGGCATACTCACCTTCCTCCCGGTTTCTCCTGGCCACTAGGGTGGCAGGAGTGATCCCACCGGTTCCCTCTCTTGCTCATCCCATGGTGGGGGGATAAAAGGGGCTACTGGGAGGTTCAGGGCCTGCCGCCCCTGAGCCCCCGCACAGCCACATAATGAGTAGATCCTATTATGTACGTGCTGCTCCAAGGAGAATGATTCTTAGGTATCCAGTACCATGAAGAAGGATGACTATCTTCATGGTCTGGGGTTTCCAGGACAGGCAGTGCCACCACAGCCACCTTCTCCTATGATCATACCCTCATGGGGTCTTCCCTTATGGTTGTATAGATTGTGTAGTGCCCAATGATGCTACATTGTAAAGAAGTGTGCTTACCTTCTTGCATCATAGATTTGTATAATTATTAGTAAGATGTTCTGGTAGGAGGAAGTAAAGTATATTGAAGAAGGGATTCCTTTTTCTAGTGCTCAAAGAAATGCTATAGGGCCAGCAGGTTTTGTTTGACCTTGATGATGAACCTCAGGCAGCCCACTTCTTAGCCACCACCTCCTCACCTTCTAAGCTCTGCTCAGTAATTCTTCAACCTCAAGACCCCCAATCAACTGCCCCTACTACTTTCTATTAGTGTCCATCCTCATGACTTGACTTCCCTTGTTACCCAGCTTAGATTCTATAGTCTATCATTATAATCACTCTTTTGCAAATATTCTCAACTCCTTCACCCTTTTCTCCTTTAAGTGTATTTCCTCAGGCCCAACCTTGATTAAATCCAACTGTGCCTACTCCGTGCATGCAGTGGAGCTGCTCTGATTCCACAGTCCATCATTATCCTCACTCTGTCTGCATTTCACTTCTTCACAAAGGCCCAGTTGTACTTCTACCTGACTAGCCAAGCTTTGCTTTTAAGAGAACACTTCATTTTAATCTCATCTTGTTTTAAATTCATGACCCCAAATTTAAAATGTCATTTAAGTCCCAGAAGTCCTGTTCTACTTCTTTATAGTGTTTCTTTCTCTACTCTTCAAAAGGATTATTTCACCTTCTCTATATTCAAAGCCCTTTTACTTCCCCAGTACTCTCCCACTTGCCCATTACACTCGATCTCACTGACTTTGCTTCAAATATGCCAGCTTTATTCCTGCCTAAGAACCTTTGCACTGGCCATTTCTTCTGCCTGGAGCACCTTGCCACCTTCCACCCCCTCAGAAAGACCTTTGCCCACCTCCCCTCCTTCTCCAGTGGCCATGCAGTCACTCAGTCACTATCATGTTATCAAGTTTAAACTTCTGCTTAGTATGTATGTATCATTATCTGTTTCTTATTTATTTGTTTGTTGTTTTGCTTTTTATTTAACTCCAGTTAGAATGTAGGCTCCATAAGAACAAGAACCTTATCTGCCTACTTTGTCACTGTATTTATTTTTAGTCTATTGACTTGCCTAAACTGTGTGATGTGACCTTTGAAGACCTTGTTAGAAGTGTTCATATGCACTAGTACAGAGAAAACAGATGCCAGGCAAGGTAGCTAGTTTCCCTGTTGTAACTATGGGTGCCAAATTATGAAAATAAACATTTTAAAGATTGTTATATGCATCTTTTAAAATGAGAGTTTGTCATTACCTGTTAAACAAACAATGGAAACTAGGAGAAGAAAAAGACAAGGAAGTATGAGCTGAATATCTGTTCCATAATCTTTTAGTGACGATAAAGCTTTATCATTCAACTTTTGATTTATGTTTCTGAGAGTGAATTTTATTTTTCTGTGTTTTCCCCATATAATACCTCTTTTTGCTTGAAATCGTTATTGACTGACTCTGATGTGAGGTCTAGTTTGGTCTTCGTCACTGCCTGGCTTCTAGACCTAACTTTCCTCAACACAAAAAGCATTCAGAACCTATGCCTGGCACACAGGAAGCAGTCAATAAATGTTAACTATTATTATCAACATTAAAAAAATCAATCTATAAATGTAAAGACAGAATTAAAAAAGAAAAACTAAGGAAATAATAAAATTAAGAAAATTGAAATGGCGGATATTATACTTCACAACCATCTCAGTGTATCGGCGTTCTTCACCTAAGAGATGTCATTTTTACAGGTTTCCAATGTGGAAGTCATTTAGTAATTGATATGTGGCTCAGCTTATTAGAAGTACAGGGAGTTGAATTTAAGTGTTCCTTTAACCTGTCTTGTTACTTAACTTAAAAGAAAGAAAATCAAAATGTTTAAGGTGAGACAATAAAATAAAAGGCTTCCTATGGAAGATTGTTTTCTGCTGTCTTCACAGGGAAAAGCAAACAAGTTAATGAGGATTTGTCACTTAATTTTGAATGCCTACGTTTCTCTGAACTACAAGGACAAATGAATTAGTATAAATTCTAAAGAAAAATACAACTGGCCACCTCACCAGAATGCCTTTTCCCAGCTTGTCTCAATTATTTTTTTCCCCAAAAGAGAATTCCAAAGCACCTATATCAGGTTGTGTTGATCTATCTCTGATGAAGTCTTGTTTCTTATAAGTTACTAAAGATTTCTGAGGCAAAGAAGTTTGGAGAATTTTTAAATGACATGAATTGTTAACAAATGGAGAATGATCATATAAAAATGTAAGTGGCGAACTTAGAGTGAAGTTTTTTGGAATTTATATCCAAAGCACATCTTGAGGCATGTCAACACTACTTTAGCTAGTTTTGTTTATGAAACAGTTTAACACTTTTCTAGCTGCAGAGTGCAAAAGGAGCTGCTTCATGAATTTAATTTTAGAGAAAGATGGAAAAATTCTATGGAGCCTGGCAAGATATAAAATGGTTTACTTAGAAAACAGACAAATATTACATATAAGACTAAAAATGGTGAAAGACAATCTCTTTTCCCTAGGCTATTGTTTCACTTGTGGGTCTGTCCAGTTCTCAGCTTTCTAGTTGTTGTTTTCTTTAATTAAGTATCCAGCATTAACTCACTGATATGTTTAGTAGAAAGGCATTTTGGCTAGGAAGATTCTAGACTCGGGAGCCCCTGTTTCTTGCCATATTGAAAGAGTCCTACACTACTATGACACTCTGAGTACTTTGCAATGAAGAAAGAGATTATTACGTTAACTAAGTCAAATGACGCTTATAAAGTTGATTAATGATTACAGATTTGCTTTTAAAATTGGCTTTGACTTTCAAGTTATACTTCATTCGTATTTATTTGTTTATTTTGTTAGAAAGGGTAATGGTGATGGGAGAGGAAGACACTTGTACTTTTGGAATCAGTATCATACATTCTGTACATCCAGTTGCAGAGAGAGAACTTTGTGTTTTTAAGCATTGTGCATTAAAACAAGATTGAAGGACAGCATTGATATCAATAATTCCATCTAATTTTATTTATTTATTTTTTCTGAAGAAGTTGAGTTGTATTAAATTTGGGCAACTACCAGCTTTATGCTACCAAACACGATAAATTATTAAATGACTTTTTAAATTAAGTCTTTCTGTAGCCTTCTAATAACCAGCCACCCCCATGGTGACATACCTGAACATGGGGTCACCTGGGTATTTCATGATACCTCTAGCACTACTGTCCAAAATTTGTGTCCTAATACATTAGTCCATAATACTGTGTAACGAACTGCTTTTATTTTCCTATACACTGCTGCATTTTAACTTTAAAGAAAGAAATGAACACTGGATAAATTACTGTGCTTTGGGAATCACTTCTACCCATTCCCCAAAATAAAACCAAAAAAACCACTGTATTTTACCCATCTGTAACTTTAATTACAAGTGCTACTTTTTTAAAAAAAATTAACCACTATTTATCTATATATAACACACTTTCCCCTTCATTCCCACCCACCCAACCTTCAAAGTTTTGTACCCGTACCTGGTACCAACTGGTCAACTTTCTGCAAGGACTCTTTTTATTTACACTCCCACTGTATTTTACCCATCTGTAACTTTAATTACAAGTGCTACTTTAAAAAAAAAATTAACCACTATTTATCTATATATAACACACTTTCCCCTTCATTCCCACCCACCCAACCTTCAAAGATTTGTACCCGTACCTGGTACCAACTGGTCAACTTTCTGCAAGGACTCTTTTTATTTACACTCTTTCACTTAGTAAGTCCTTGAGAACGGTTAAAGTTGATCCAATAGCCATTTATTCAAAGGTTCTATTGAGAGTAGTTTGTTTTGTTCTTGAGTACTTGTAAAGATATGCTATATTGTGAATTAAGCCTTTTTATTGACAGAGTAAATGACGACAGAACCCCATCAGCCTTATCAGAAGTTCCCTGACCTCATTATTGCTAATGGATCCATGCTAATTCAGCCTGTTGTGAAATCTCATGTTCAATTATGCAGGATAATGAGTGACTCAAAACTTAGTATGTCTCAACTATCATCCTGATGATAGGGTTTGTACAGCTTCTTTCAAAAATGAAACAAGGTTTTAAGTACAGTGATTCACTTTTATGTCCAAACGAAAGTTATCACCGGTATATTCAGACTGTTCTTATTTTAAATATCTGATATGATTTTAAAATAAGCAAGGATTGCTCTATAACTTTATATTTCACTAATCCTGTTATAGGAAAGTTAAGACAGATTTATTCATTTTCAAGTGTTAATTCTGGAATTCTAAAAGCATGCAAATGGCATTTGTCTTTGGATTCACAAAAACTCTAGATATTCAGAGTTTGAATTATTTAAACTCCCACAACACATGCACTTTTGCTTTTCAAGCATGAGTTATAATTTAATTAAAAACTTCTGGTGCATTGCTAGCATTTTAAATATTAATATGTTCCATGGATCACTTTCGATTATATACTGTCTTGAAATTCTTGAAGATGTCATATTTTTAAGATTCCCAAAGTTGCACTTGGAATTGTCTGTTGAGGCAAAGGGGACCGTGATAATTACACACATCCATTAGGATCAGCAGAGGAGATAAACTTTGGGGACGCTTAATGGGCATGTCTCAGTGACAGCTAGCAAAGAGCATTTGGCATGATTAAGGATGGATTTGAATGCAGTTGAAAATATACTCTCATTATGGACACCCAGTGGAAGTTGCACTACAAATGTCAAATTCCCCAGAAGAAAAGTGGTGTGGCAGGGAAGCTTTGAAATCCACTGTGGCCATCATCCAAATTATTCTTTCCTTTATGTCTTTCTGCTGTCAGAATCATTTTGTGATGCCCAATTCAACTCCCTGCATCTCTGAAAAGAGGCAACCTGTTGATCTTTGTATTTCAGATTGTCCGAAGATTCATCAAGGATTGGCTTGAAAGAAAGAAACCTCCTTTTGGTGCTATCAGCAGCTGTGTGCTCCTCATGATCATCTATACAACGTTCTGTGACACGTTCTCAAACCCAAATATTGACCTGGATAAATTCAGCCTTGTTCTCATACTGTTCATCAGTAAGTTGGAAGATGGTATATCCGGGCTGCCCCTCAGTCTCTTCAATAGTCACGTGTAGCAATTTCTGTTCTCTGAATTCTTTCCTAATATTAATCTGACTAGAAATGAATACTTAGTTTCATATTATATTTACTCAGTAACTTTATCTTGTGTATTTGTTCTTTAAAAAGACAGCAGTCATGTACTTATGATCTAATCTCCTTTGTATTTTATGTCTGATGCACCATTTTCTTATTTACAATAGTCGAAGTCAGATAAGAAGAGCTTTAATATCTGTCAGATTCAAATGTTAGATTGAGTACTTTGTCACCAACTTAGTTTATTATAATTTTAAACTGATCTTACCCCCTATTGTGATTTCAAAACAGGACTTATATGGTACTACTATTTTATGAGTAAAATAATCTGGCTGCATTCTTTAAAATGTGAATATTTGTATCATATTTTCTAATAAAAAAGTAATATCATTCCATTTTAAGAAGCAGCAGACTATAAGATGCAGGTAACTTCTAAGGGGCAAAAAATCAGCCTTTTGTTCTATTTACCCTATAATACCAAGGACAACATCTATTGATATTATAATATCAAAGAATCTTTTGCTGTTAAAATCAAGATGTTATTCCAATATATATATTATGTGTTACTATATTTCTGCTATTTGCTACAAATATTCATTGTATAAATCATCTCTTTTTAAATTGAACAAATTAAATAACCAAGTGTACATCAAAGGGGGCTTTAGATTTTTCCCTGAGTAGTAGATATTACAGATTGTGTCTGGGGATATTGTCAATAAGAACAGGTTGAGTTCCACTAATTTAAATGATTCTATCAGTTAAGCAATGTCCATTGGTTTGGTTTATTCTTTTGTTTTTCTATTTGAGTTCCCATAAGTTTCAGATAAAACTAAGCATACCAGTAAATATGCTACAGATGCTATTTTTTATGGTAATTTAGATTCAATTTTTTTTCCTCCAGTATTTTCTATTCAGCTGAGTTTCATGCTTTTAACCTTCATCTTTTCAACAAGGTAAGTGACCTGGTATCTCTCATTGTTAGTTTCCTAAATGTTAGTTCACTTGGCTACTATGCCACTGTACTGATCTATGTTTTCTCCTGTCTCCCTGACCACTCTGTCTCACTTCTGCCACCCTCAAATTATAGACGTTGCCAAAGGATCTGTCCTGGGCCCTAGTCTCTTCTATCCACATCATGTGCTTTGGCAACCCCCTCCATTCTACTGGCTCAAGCTGTCAGCTTCATACTGATAATTTTCAAGCCTAGACCTTCCATTCCAATGTTTTTTCTGAGTTCCAGTACTATTTTTCTCTTACCATTTAGATATCTTCACCTGACTGTGTTAACAAGACCTTGGAGTAAAGGCATTCAAAATGGAACTAATGTTTTTCCCCAAAAGTCCTCTTTCTCTCATTTCTTTACTTATTTTTAGTGGAACCACCATTCTCAGAGTTATTCAGACTGGGGGTATCCTTCATATCATTATTTTTTAAGTTTCCATATCCTACCTCTGTAATGTCTTTTCTGCTCCCAAAGTCACTTCCCTAATTCGGCTCTTGTTTCCTCTTTTCTCCCTGTGCTGTTGCAATGGATCTCTTACTGGAAACTCCATTTCTAGGCCCAGCTTTTCTTATGTGTTTCGTACTGCTTCCAATGACTTGTCTGATAATCTCTCTCTGTTCAGATATTTTCAATGGGTATCCAGTGCCTACAGAATGAATTTTACTTTGGAGGGCAAAGTTTAAGGCTAAGTCTGTAGTCTATTTTCTGATCTCAGAAACCACAACTAGCATTCATGTTGTCTAAGCTTCAGGGTGAGCTAAAATCTTTGTTGTTCCCTGGGAGAACCTCGTGCTTTCTCATTTCTGTCCCTTGCTTAGGCTTTCCCCACATACAAATTTATCTCCATGTCCTAATTCATCTTTCCTGTTCTTAAAGATTCACCTCAATTACAACTTCTTCTACCAATATTATATATTCAACAGACATTACTTCAGCCTTTGGTATGAGAAAGTTACCATAGTGAATGCCACCAATAAGAGATGATTCTGATCCTACATGAGTTTGTAGACTAGATATGAGCAATGATAACAGAGTGTCCTCTGATATAGTAAGCCATCCTGTAGTCAATTCAAAGAAAGCACTCCCAACAACAGTCAAGGCTCCATGGGATTTGGCATAAGTCATAAGGAATGGCTAATTGTTCAGCAAGCAAAGAGGGGTTTCTTGGTGGGAGGAGGGTAGAGCAAGGCTCCATGGGATTTGACATAAGTCATAAGGAATGGCTAATTGTTCAGCAAGCAAAGAGGGGTTTCTTGGTGGGAGGAGAAGCAATAATACAAATATAGACATACACAAATAAACAAGACATGGTAGGACAATGGGAGTAGAAGAAGATTTAAAATAGTAATAGTAACTGGAAAGGTAGGCTTGAGCCAGATCGCAAGGCCCTTGAATGCCAGCTGATAGCCATGAGTTACCACCAGAGAAAGGGTCTAGGCTGTTTATAAAGCATGAAATAGTGCCAGAGCAGTGGATGGGTTTAGGCCTCACATTAAGCACCTGGCTCTCACAGCACTTGGTGTAGCACTAGGCTGATTGTGCACAGTCAATAAAAACTTATTGATTGATGTAATTGGAAGCATTTTCCCAAGCTTGAGCTTGTGATTTATGAAGTAAGAGCAAGACCTGGAGCCATTAAGTCACAGAGAAAATGTGACTTAATTGAGTAAGTCTAAGAGTAGGAGCTATTTTTAAGTTACTTTTATAAATGGCTTGTTATGTCACCTTAGAAAAGACATTGCTTTTCAGTGGATGTTTGTTTGCTGGTCCTTGTGGCAGAAGTGATAATCAGACTGACTCGTCCTACCAGAATAGTAGGATGCAGATATCTTGTTAGTGACTTGGACATTCCTTGAAAAGATAGAACACAGCCTGCCACTGGTAGGATTGCTGAAAGAAGGGCGGGGGCAGGGGGTCACAATCAGTGTTGAATTAAAATTAAGAATTTTCACCTTGGAGTAGACTGTATTTTCACAAGGACTTATGGTTTTGAGATCCTTTTCTGCCTTATTCTGTCTTCACTAATGTTCTGTTACATTTTGAATCTTTCAACACACTGTAAGACATATACATTCTTT